TTGTTAGAATATCAAATCTACTCAAGCATATCAGTCCAATTTTAGCTGATGTGGCTCTGATAAGAAAAGATCCTATGCAAGAAAACTTCGATTCAAGCTCTGAAGTTTGTGGAATCCTCCCCATCGGGTTTTATCTTTGCCTGGTAGGTCTTCACATAGCTATAAATTCTCATCTGTATATTCGCAGTAGTACGAGAAGTCTTGACAACGAGATTTGACCGGAGTTGAGACGAAAGTGCAAGCAAGAGTGTCCAGTTCTAGTGACAGCGATGATTTTCTTTCGGAAGTGAAGTGAAAAATTGGTGATTTGGGTGTATGGTTTTAGTATTACTATAGATAAGAATATTGAATTCAAGCCTGGCTTTTGAAAATCAATCAGAAGATGCTGTTCAGAAGCGCTCAAATAGTATATAAGAGAGCCTGATAGATCAGAAAGATACTCGGTCTTAGATTTTTGATAGCTTTGTCATCCGTGTTCTTTGTGTGGAAGAGAATTTCTAATGAAAATCTCTACGCTTCTATGTTCAATGTTCAGCCGCTAGACCTCAGCCTCAATATTCTGATAAACTACTTCTCGATTCACACCAGGATTGTTATTCAGTGATTTGAGTAGTGTAGTGAATTAACAGCAGTGGGGTAGTAATCCCTCCTGGATTTTCTACCCTATCACGGTGGATATTAGTACTGCGAATTTGTGCTCGATAGAAGAAGTATAGCATTCACGAAACATAGGTAGCTTCTCCCCTGGATCCATGCTTCTTTGTGAGACAAGAGCAGTCATCAAGGTAATTCTGCATACGAGAGATAAAGCAGAGGATGGATTGAGGGATCGAGGACCGCTTTTCTATTATAAATAACGACAAACATAGGAAAGAAATAACAGTAGTCATCTAATCTGTAGTGGCAATAGTTACCCACTTCTATTCCATGGAATATCCATTTCTTCGACCATCATATCAGTAGAAAAACATTTCCCTCCGAGTATATCACGAGGCTTCGAAAGTACAGCCTGTACCATTATTGGTATCGAAGATCAGACTTTGATTTCTCTACCACTTACATACAATACACTCTTAAATATAGGTTCAGGTACTTGTATATCTTGGGTTATCACCCCTTAGTGAATACAGAGCTCAGGATTATCAAATATCACTACTGTATTTAAGGTTCGTTTATGTTGGACAACGAGCTGTAAGTCGGGAAGAAAAACACGCCAATCATCACCTCCAGGAAATTATCGATATTCAAGCAAGGGACTCAGTATTTTTTTCCCCAAAAGACGTCCAAGGGACTTCGATGGGTGTACAAACCGATCGCTTGTGATCCAATAGACTCGCATCTGGCGTACAGCTCGCAAGATAAGCGACAGCAGAACTATGAAAAAAATGATGGCGAGACATTCCACTGATGAGACTAAGAAATTCAAATCACATATATGTCTAAATTGTTGTCAGAAGATACGAATACAAGACTCGTGCTCCGTACAATAAATTGCGGTCCTCAAGAGAAACTTGCCTGCAAAGCAATCGAACAACACTTCGAGTTCGTCTAAAAGTTTACTTACTTTATAGGATGGATTTCCGTCGAAAGTACGCAGATATAAACGTCTACGATGTATTGATTACAGAGATTTGGTTCTCAAATAGATTGATCCGTCCCCCCAAGTACGAGTCGAATCATAAGATCCACCTATTGAGATCGGCTTTGGTCATGCACAAACACCTCCTAGCTAAGAGTTAGAGTGAATTCATATATTTCAAGATTATTCAGCTCCACAAGTAGAGGTTAACCAGACCCTATTCATTACGAGATAAACTTTGCAGTTTCTACATAAGTCTCCAAATATTCTAAAGCATGAAGAAAAATGCCAGCATGTAAGCCGTTGACAGGAAAGCAGCATACTTAGGCTCTCGGTAGCCCACTAAGGCTGTCCTTAGATGGAGCCCCCTGCGGTGATTAGGCTTTTCCAGTAATCAAGTTCGGTTGGAGCTTTGCCTCGAACATTGGCATTGGGAACCGTAGACAACAAGTTCTAGGTCAAACATAACAAGCATAGGGTAAAGACAGCGAAAGCTCTGACGCCAATTTTCTTTCACTGTCATCTACCGGAGTATGTTTTCGCAGAACGAGATATATTCCGGATATGTTACCCTATAGATAACAAATCTATGTTGAAACGCATCTTTGAGCTTGGAAAAATCCAATAACATATCAAGGTTCAGAGTTCTCTATCCGACATACTGATTGAGCAAATTTTCAGGCTCTTCACAACCTATGTATACATCTATGAGAGACTCTGCTGGTTTATATTCTTTAGTACCTTGGCAATTTACATTGTCAAGTAAATGTAAAGACTTCTTCTTATATTGCAAGTAAATGTATATACCTTGGAGAAGATTTCTGTTGCTTGGAATGTCTCGCACATGAAGGCAACCAATTCAATGATACCTCAGCATTTTCAGATAATAGAATTACCAATATTCCAGAATTTGTCGCTTAGAGACCATCGAAGTACGCCTTTAGAGAGGCCATAAATGGTAGTTTTCATGTATGATGTGGTCAAGGAAGACCATCTAGAAAAACGATAAATGACAACGAAACAGTTTTCATAGACAAACTCGCTCAACATGATAGTTTGTATCTTGATTTCATTATCGCCAACGCATAGTTTGCCCCAACAGTGAGTTGATCTTTCAGAAAACGAGACATGCACTGCAATCCACCCGGTCGTTTAAATCAGAAGCGGTGCGCAAAGCTTAGAGCCTAATACTTGGCTCTATTCATTCCTACAATTTTCTTTCCAAATTTTTATTTTTTGCATGTAATGGCAGAAAATATGTATAACCTGTGAAGATATTTCGAACCGGAGGAACGTACTTACACCCCCGAATTTAATAGAAATGGTCCATCAATACAGCAAGATCACACCACTCAAAAGCTCCGCTGTAATTGATGACTTCGTTGTTCAAATTGGAGTTGAGATCAAAACTGATTTTGCAAGGACCATGAAGCCCTCCAGGTCACTGATATGAGCAAAGGCATTGAAGAACTCCGAAAATAATGCTATTGCGGGCTAGAAAGTAGCTGGAAACAAGAAGGATCCAAGATACTTAAGTCCTCATCGTTGCTTCAATCTGAATATTGTATGCATGATATCAGGCCTGTCAAACTCGGCAGCATTCATTCGCTCAGGTCAATCTGATACATCTCGGTGTGCAACTTTGCACGCTGTAGATGAACAAGACCGGGTAATCTCACCGTTCCTTGTCCTGAAATGCCTCCCTTCGAACTTCTTCAGCAGGTATCAAAGTCAAGAGTTGAGGTTCGACAGATACCCTGTCGTGGCAGAAACCGTGATTGACGAAGTGATCATTTTATCAAGTATAATGAAATCTCTGGGATTAAACTATATATTAAAAGAATTATTTTTAATATATTTGTCAGAAATAGACAGCAAGTTACGCATATATAATATAAGTGATGTATAAAGATTGTGGTATATTTTATTGTCTATCACAGAAGTCGGATCTATATGGAAAACGTTTTATATGATGTAGTGCACGTGCCATATCACGTGTTTTCTAACAATATTAATAAAATCAATAATATCTTGACACCTAATAAAAGAATTTTATTCCAAAAGGATTTTATTGTTTATAATTGAATTTTTTAATTGTATAAAAACTTAAATATTATTATTCTAATATTATATTTATATTTATATTCAATAATAAGAAATTGTTTTGTTTCTGTCGGGACAGGGATCATGTGACCGCACTAGCGCTTGCGCTAGTGCCTCGGCACTTATGTATAGACGCATCGTAGCCCTAGCTTTTAGAACCAGAAGCAATATTACAACAGTGTGAACCATAGTTACTATATTGTCTTCACCATCCCCATGGTGATACCAACAGTTTCTTATTTATCTTTAAATTAAAGATTCAGTTTATTTAATTTTCATCTTTTTATATTAAATTATAGAATACATAACTTCTAATTTATATTTATTCTAATAATCTTAATAGTATAATAGAATATTCTAAATGTCAAATTTGTTAATTGGCACACATAAGGCTCCTTCTAATTGGTTATAAGTAATGTGCCGACACTAGGGCAGGGTTGTTCCGGCCGGACAGGGGGGAAAACCTTATGAAATCACTTCAATTCAGTACACAACCTTAAACGAATTGATACAATGATTGAAAAAGAAGTAATTAGATTAAAGCAAGTAAGAGCTTTCCAAATGTATACTGGTTTATAGGGTAGGCCCTATGAAAGTGGTAGAATTAGTTGATTGAGTTGAAAGGGAGTATATTTGAAGATACATTTGAAGGTGACCTGGGTCTTCATCGGCATGAAGGGAATGACTTTTGGGAGCTATTGAATATAGTAACTACTGCCAACAGAGACTACCAATGCAATATTTAACGAGTACTGAATCTCCTCACAGGAATACAAAGCAAGCTCTAGCACAGGCGGATGCATACCAATGCCTCATCGTATCGGCGGTATCAACTACTTGAAGAAAGACGGTTTCCTCATTCATTGAAGTATATCATTATAAGAGAGGAATTAATTACAAAAGAATATGACGAAATCAATCCGTCGCGGGAACAATTCGCGTTTTTTACGCAGAGCCAGAAGCTAAAATTCTCAGTCGTTGCGAGACGTGTAACTAAAATCCACAAACTCTCTTGCCTTGTGCCTCCGTCCCTCTACAGCGCCACTTCTATGTCCTCTGGTACAGACACCTTCTTTTCTTGGTTCTTTCCAAACTTATCAGATTCAAGTCCGACCTGTGTGTCCAATTTCGTTCGGAGTGATATGTGTCTTTCCACGCATACTGCAACAAGCCCTGTACATCCGAACGCAACAGCGCCAATCCAAACTGATTTTAGCGCTTCTCGATATACCGAAATCACTTGTTGTCGGATAGCGGGCTCCAGGGAATGGATATAAGTACCACTGACAAACTGATAGGCCCGCCCACCTGCTGGTTCTTAGCGGACGGCAGGGTCGCTGATACGTATGGAGTAGCGATCGAATTGCGCATTAAAGATGATCCCGGGTATTGTGATACCCCAAATGAAACCAAAGCTACGCAAAAATGAGTCCACCCCTGTCGCTGTAGCCACTTCTGAGTCAGGCAAGGAAGCCATTATCGCAGGTAGGACGGTAGGCAGCAGAATTCCTCGGCCAATGGCGTCGACCATCTGGAAAATGACCCAAGAAACTCTGGGGGTGGTATTTGATAACATGATATTCAGTCCCGGTCCAAGAATACTAAGAACGAATCCAATGAGGTGCAATGGCCGATAGTGTCCAAATTTCGAGAGAATTCCGCCAGCCATGCCAGCTGTCACAATGAGAAATGCCTCATAGGGAATGAAATTTGTTCCAGCTCGAAGAGGAGAGGTTCCTTTGATGGCTTGGAAGAAGACAGGCCAGAAAAAGCACACCCACTGGAGTAATACTGAGGAGATGAAATCGATCTAGAAGCCTGCGGATGAAGTTCGATTCGCGAAGATGCGCGGGGGTATGGAGACTTCTTTGCAAAAATTGGGTGGTCTCCACTCGTACAAGTGAAAACCTATCCATCCTAGTAACCCAAACACAATTGGGAGGATTACTCGCAAGGAAGACCACGAGAACACAGATCCACCAAATATGAGGCCGACCAACAGAGAACAAAGAGAGGCGATGAAAATGAAGTTTCCCACCCAGTCAATTCTTAAGAGTGCTCGCGCCCACGTAGATTCTTTCTCGTGATTTAGGCGAAGAGATATGGCCATGAAAACCATGGTGACCCCCGCAATAGGAAGATTTAAATAGAAAAGCCATCTCCAGTTTGCTGTAGCAAGAGCTCCTCCGATAGCTGGTCCTAAAATGGCAGCGATAGCGGTCGAAGACATGACAATGCCGAGGTATTTTCCTCTTTCTCTGAGGGGGACGATATCGCAGATAATGAGTTCAACAAGCATCATGATGCCTCCGGATCCGAGGCCCTGAACGGTGCGACCGGCTATGAGCATCGTGGAGCTGTTTGAGCCTCCTGCGATCCCACTCCCAAGCATGAAGAGAGAAATCGAGGCGAACATAGGTGTGCGGCGCCCGAATATGTTACATATCTGAGCATAGAGTGGCTGAACAACTGTTTGAGCAATGAGGAAAAAGTTCGCAATCCACACATAGTTGTCGGCAGCCGAAAGATCATTCGTGATTTTAGGGAGAGCTGTGGCGATTATCGAGCCATCGAGGGCGGCAACAAAGCTGATAAAAGAGGGTGAAAACAGTATGAGATAAAACTGCCACGATTTGGGGGTATTGGGCATGCTTTCTTCTTGAGTCTGTAGCACTGAGTCCGGTGGTGAAGGCTCCATGGTTTTGATGAATCGTCTTGTATTCTAGTACAGAATATATTATTCAATTAGTAAAGGAGACTAAGCACTGTAGAGATCTTAAGTGAGTTTGAAGTTTTCAGACAGCAGACTTTCCTTCCAATATAATAGAAACTAATAGTCGGCTCTTGTAATCGGTCTCCTAGTTGCTAGTTGGGGAAAGTGGTTGTCCCCGGAAAGCGGTTGTCCCCTTACTTTTTTTAAGGGATAATTTATTCAGTTCTAGGAATAAAATCAAGAATTTAATATTATTGAATTACTATGATTTCGCTGAATTCAACAATAGAATTTGTTTTCAGATCGTATAATATTTTTTGAATGGGGACAACCGCTTTCCCCGATTAGAAACTAGGAGGCCGCTTATAAGAGCTGACTATTGATTATCAATAAGTATTCTTTTCTTTTTATACTACTTTGATAAAGGAAATATGAGGATGAATGCACTCCCTAATAGTGTGTATATATGTGATCATTAAAAATATATCAATTCGGGTGAACGCGAGATCTGATAAATTTTACAAAATGTATTGTAGGTATAGAGGCTTGCATTGTAATGACTATCGTATTAACTATGTAAGAATCAAGAGTGATATACTCTTGATGACTAAGCTACGCTAAATGAGGGCAGTGAATCCATTCAACAAAATGTAACTTCGTTAAAAGAGTCGGAGCTAAATAGCCCCGAATGCTACTTACTTGCATACCGCTTACTAGTATGTGCCAGATAAGCATCGGCTGAAGCTGAAGAAGCCTATAGGATACAATCCTTTTCTCTTCCCGGTTATCTCTAGACTCTATCGTCTTCTCAATTCATGTATCTCATGTATCATCTCAACCACCCATGGCTGTATGAACAGCAGTTCCTTGTATTTACTAACTTGGTAAATTATTGTGATGATACATGTACATAACATTGAGCACCATATTCATACACATCCTGGACCTTCTCTTCTTTTCTAAGAATAGTCTTATACTACCATAATGTACTCATAAGCCCAACCATATCGTAAAGGTGCCTTGTACGGTTGATCTTTGCATAACTAATGGTTATTCAATTAGGTACAGCGATACCTACCTAGTACGGTAAGTGTTTCCTGTAACATTCCTCATTAGGCATAGATTAGATTTTGATCAATAAGAGCTTAGACCACATTTAGCTGAGCATATAAGGTTAGATTACCGTTTTCAAAGTATGTCCCTTATTAGTAGTATATCGAATGACGCAATCCAGTAAACGAGGCTCTTTTTGTGAGAGCCTCTAGTGCCTAGTCTACCGCGGTCGCTAATTTTAGTGTTGTTTTTATGCTAAGCCGACCTAGGTAATGACGGCCAAATGAATTAATGTCTTGGGTTTCAAGGTATCCCGTGATGCTCAGGAAATGAAATCGTGATAGGTTAGTATTCTGAACGATGAATGGGCAGAACCTCCGAATTATACTTTTGTCTACCCATTTGGAATGCAAGAGGGTTTCAACAGAAACCCTCTTAATATTGAGATTGCGAATGATGTATACAGCTCTACCATTAAGAACCATTACACTCCTCGCGTGCAATACCTAGGTCAATATTAAATTCGTGCCTAACTCATAACTTGACAATCCTAAGGTAATTTGTTTACCAGAACTTTCAAGGGTAACTATAGGCCCCCAATTTGGCGTCTTTAAATTGTTATAAAAATATCGTTGTTGCAGTGTGCCTATAGTAGCTAGCTACATATCTGTAACCTTACCAACGGAAAAATGAGACACCTTGTGGGGGTTCATAAAAAACAAAACTTTTACAAGTCTTCAGCAGGTATTGGTATCACCTTATCAGAATCTGACACCAAAACCCTCCATTTTACGTTTTTATCCTCACTGTGTCTAGGACTGATTGTGACATTGATATCCTCATCTGGTGCAGCTGTTGTCTCCCAAAGAGCGGCCTTGTTGGAAGTGATGTGATCCCAATTTCCGTTAACAGGTGCGACGTCAAACCGTAGAATTAACAGAGCAGTAAATGCCAAAATTTAGGTGGCTGCAAAATGACGACCAGGACAAAGGGTCGTTCCGCCACCAAAACCACGAAAGGCAATCGGGTTGTGACGTTTGTTCTCAGGTAAGAAGCGCAGGTGATTGAATGTTTCAACATCGGGACCCCAAGCAGACTTGCCGGTATGCTGAACGGGGCCTGGGATCAGTAAAGTATTTCCCTTCTTGAGAAGATACTTGCCGTCGAGCAAGAGATCCTTCATGACCATCCTGGTTGACATACCGATGGTTTGAACTCGAAGCACCTCTTGCAATGTGGACACTAATATTGGACAATCGACTTTCACTCGTGTCATATCGATAGTGCGAATTGTGATGATTTTGCCGTTTTTCGTAGTAGTAGCCTAGTCGAGAACCTGGGAAATCTCCTTTCGGCAATCTGCCAATATTGATGGGTCGGCATATACGTGGTAAACCATCCAGAAAGCACTAGGTGATGTGTTGGAAAGCAGCCCAATCGTATTTCCAACCTCAAATCTTGCAATATCCTCAACAGGCAGCTTATGTTCCGTGCTATGATTGAAACGAGCTTTCATGAGAGCGGATGCCTCGTTATGACCGCCATTTTCAAAGTATTTGTTAAAAGCTCTGGTCATGTATTCACGAGCCTGATAGCACTCTCGGGATAGTATCGATGGGAATAGATTCATAAGGAGAATAGCAACCCCAGGCTTGGACTTCCTGGATAAAGTTAGCGACTAGACTAGACATGTGCGGACGCAAAGTTTCCTCTCACCAGAAACCATCTGCAACAACAGGATCTTTGAACGAGTTTTGTGGTCCATAAACTGAATCGGTCATAGCTATTGCAATTTCGCGCTTGATAAAGTCGAAAAGCGATACAACAAGTTTTCCTTTTATTCCATCGAGTGAAGCAGTAATGTTCTGGGCCATGATACGATTCATCGCATCAAGCTCAGGCCCTGGTGAAAGCGGCTTGTGAATTGTTTTGTAGAATGTCATCGAATAACCCCAATCACCCTCTTCTCCGTTGGTATTCGCATTGAGAATGTCGTTCGCAATCTTGCTTGATCCGCAGACACTCATGGCTCCCATAGCCTCCAGAGGAGGGAATGCCAAGTCTTTGTATTGACGCTGAACGACAGGAATCAGCGACATGGAATTGACGACATAGAGTCTGGCTCCCGGTATCCGGAGAGTGTAGATCGGTAAATCATGTTTGTTTCTGTAGTTGGAGGTCAGAGACATGTTCACAGATACGGTATTATCTTAGCCACCAAGATTCTAAACCAAATACGAAAGTCTTCAACGCACCTTAGCTCAATATAAAATTTAGTTTTTTTCCGCGAGAGTTGGATCATTGTACCGATAAACGGAAGAGATGTTGAGATTAGTGGAGGCTCACTTTCGTCTTGGGTGTAATGAAGGAGAGCATGGAGAAAGCCATAAACGGCAATCACGCCTGTAGCAACAATAGCAAGAGTGCTAGGCATGTCTGATATCTTCACTTTCTGAAGCAGCGAATGAATAAACGAGCTGGCGGCAGATGGAATAAAGATGTTATCAGAGAACTTGTTCAGCTATTATCGCTGTAGATGAGAAGATATGCCAAAAAGTTTGATTGGCTTTTGCAAGACACTTACTGCGCCGTATTATAGCTTGTCTGAACGGAAAGATGCCGCACTCTCCAGCAAATTGAATTCAAAAAAATTTACTTGCTGCGCCTTTCGCGTCATTTGTACCCGGCCTAGCCGAGCTAAATAGTCATAGTGGTATTGCTTGATTATTTCGGTTTTCTTTGCAGGTTAAATTCAGGGCTATGGCAGATTGTAGTCTCGATTTTGTAGTGGCATTTATGTGCCACACATTTGTGGATTTGGCATGCATTAGTGTACACCACTCTACCGAGTATTTAAAGGGGGCACAGCAATGATGGCCATTATTGGTGTGTTAGGCCTTCCCAGCCTTTGGTTGTATTCAACGGGAGCGTCTGAAATAGTCAGCGAAACGACTAGGCCCCCAAAATTAACTTAAACCACTTCAGGCAGCATTTCTTCCCGATCGACACCCTTTTAGGATCTGACTTGCTCAAAAAATTCCTTTTTCAGGCTGACTCAACAACTTTGCCGACTATACTACCTACTGTACCACTACTATTTAAAGGTTTCTTACAGATCTCGCCGATCGAGTATCGATAATATCGTACGTGTTGAACATCCGGAAATGTCCACCTATCCTATTAACATTTCCAGGGACTCGATTCCCCCGGAAGAACTGCTTCGTTTTAAATTGCCATTCTATGAGCTTTAAATCGCCAGAGGACAAGACCAAATTCAACACGTACTATCAAACTCTAAAATATTTGACTTTGAACCCATGAAGTCTATGGTCCTCCAGAGAATGCTTGATGTGTCAAAGAAAGCCATCAGTATAGCGAGCCAGGACGACTCCGGAGTGAGCAGCAAAGCAATATCCAACAGTCTCATCACACCAGAAAAAAGGTTCAACTACCTGGAGCGTAAGGCCACGCATGACATCGGTAGACCCTCGTCCCATACAGCGTTTGTGCAGCAATTTGAGAAGAATCTGTATCAGTGGGTCTCAGAGAGTGAAATCACTGAGGAGTGAGTTGAATTTGCTGATCTGTATATCTTCGTCCGAGATATTGTCTTTCAAATCACCACAGATGCATTCTTTGGCCCACATCTACTGAGTCAGAATCCAAATCTTGCAGAGGATCTCTGGAGCTTTGATGAAAGTATACCATTCCTCTTGAGCGGTTTCCCCAAGATCTTCAACCGACAGGCTGTGAAAGTGCGTGCAAGATGTGTCCAAGCTTTTAGGAAATGGAGATTATTTGCTTTGGGTGGGCAGAAGCAGGCTTGCTTTTTGCCGGAGCGAAATAAGAAATCGGGATTGAAGTGTATGGGCTTGAGAAATCAGGTCTTCAAACAATTCGAGGAATGGGATGATAATTCTTGTGCTGCGTCGGACTTCACTGTGCTCTTCGGGTAACTTTGATTATTCCTACTATCTTCTCCATCATCAGGTAGGATCTTAATTCTTAATGACACTTGAATATTCCAGGCTAAACTCGAACATCGTGAGAGTAACGTTCTGCTTTCTCCTCGAAACCATGCAGTCAGAAGACCTATCAGGTGGTGCTAATAAAGAAGTATCAAAGGCTATCAACACGGCCAAACACTTATCTTCGTTTGATTCAAAGAAGATAATCAATTCGCCCTTGCTACAGTCTATCTATGTAGAGACTCTGAGAATGTATGTTTCGGTGCTGATGCTTCGAAAGACTCGGCAAGAATCTAAACTTGATACTTGGACCGTCCCTTCAAACATTGTTGTTGCGGTCTGCAATTATACCGAATACATGAACGAAAAACTATGGAATCCAGAGGGTGCCAGAGAATCCCATCCTGCGAGCACGTTCTGGGGAAGACGATTTCTAAAACATCCAGAACTGAAAGGTCCGGGGAAAGACCATCACGAAAAGGAAAATAGCGAGAAGCGGAGCGAGACAAATCAGTCAGAACCTGCTCCTGTGTTTTCAACACAAGGACTTAGTTGCCAATGGTTTCCATACGGGTCTGGGGAGCGGATCTGTCCCGGCAGGCACTTTGCGAAACATCAAATACTTTTGACGTTTGCAGTGCTATCTACCTCTTTTGATATCGAGTTACAGGTGGTTGATGGATGGAAACCAAAGTCTGATTTGAAGCATTTTGGTTACGGAGTCATGCCACCAGATTCGCAAACCCCATTTAGAATCCGAAGACGTCTCTGAGTTTGCATGTAGATCTTCATAGATATGAGACAGTCAGATCACCTGTATAGCATTCAAGAATTTACCCTTGTGCTTTTGTGTGCTTTTGAACAGTACTCTGTACATTTGTACAGTAGCTCGAGAGTAGTCTTGGATGCAGAAGACGGAAGACGGCCCGAAGATTATCCAAACCCCGGATAAGACTTTCCCTGAACAGTGCACCTTCAAAAAGCCAGGGCTGTAACAATGCTTTACTTCTTTAGTTCTGGCTTACGAAACTCCACTCTAACAATCAAAAGTAGATCGGATAGCGGCGACGCGCCAAAGCATCATATTACAGTAAAGCAGCGAGTGTTGTGTTTCCAAACACGCATGTTCCGTGCTGCTTTTCAGAATGGATCAAGTTAATTCAGGTCTTCACCAGCAGATACCCACAACATACAGACAATTGCAACCACAAGCAGAACAAGCTCTCCAGCATGGCCAACCTCATCTTCACCACCACACTCTTACATCCCAGGCAGGACTCGATCTGTCGGGTTTGGTCCAAGATGATAACAATTCTGTCTATCACCCAGACTTGAGAAGCTTGCAGGATCCAAATGCAGGACATCCTATTGCTCATCAATATCCTTCTCCAATCCCCTTTGAACGAAACAATGGGCACCCTCAAATGCATGTTCAGAATAATGGCATTCAAAATACTGGACTTCAAAATAGCATTCAAAATAATGGCAGCCCCCATACCCCTCAGCAACAACATCCTGGACCAGGACAATTCGGAATCTTGACTGCAGGTCCCTCTCTTCACCATAACCCAATTGGCAGATTGCAGCAAGGCTTGCCACAAGATTTGCAGCAGGATGATAATTTATTTGGCACACCTGATGAAACAGATCAGAAAAGCATTGGACATCATTCTCACAAGATTGTTCCTAATCCCCCGGATTTGGCGGCATGGAGAGAGAAGTTATTTAATGTCAATGAGATGATCACTTTGAGTGAAGAAGAGTAAGTTCATTAACCCAAATTTTGAAGTGGAATTTCGCTGATTGACTCAATCTTAGGTATAATACATATTTTCCTCATGTCGATAACGTTTACTCCCACCGGTCAACTCAAAAATACAAGCGCAAACCATTTGTTTCTCACTACTGGGATTGTCGTCTCAAAGGAAGACCGCCAGGAACTGCTAAATCCGATGATCCGAACAAAAAGAAGCGAAAGCGCACTGCGCGAGAAAGAGATCTTTGCGATGTCAAAATCAAGATTACAGAGTACTTTCCAGGTGCTATGTTACGGGCAGATTTTCAACCGGATGGAGGCGCATCGGCAGATCCATCCCAAGCGAACAACTTTTTTGCACAAGCTGGACCTCACCAACAACAATTTGCCCTTCCTCTCAACAACATAAACATCCCACCCAATCATCCAGGCGCCACAGGTCAACGATACTATGAAATTCAGCGTGTCAATGGAAACGGTGGCAACGGCAAGGGCGATGGTGTTGCAGGACCCCACAAGCATGATCTGGCGAGAAGTGATGAGATTAAGAAGAACAGCATTCTTCGATTTCTTCAAAAGAGAGAAAAGGAAGACAAAAAGACCCAGGTAAGATTCTCTGGTGCTATCAGTATTACTATCCGGCAAACATCACATGGGAAATGCAATCGCAAGAAATGCAGCCACAGGGCGTTTGGCGATTGCAGATCTTTGGGCCTCGATTGCCCTTTCCTGCCCCGCCCCTTCTCGTGGCGTAATGTATAGCTACATCATATCAAGCCTCACGCAATTTTCTTTTCGACATTGAATGCCTTCGAAACATGAATTGAAAAGGCTCACCCAGAAGATCTTACTCCCATTCCTTTGGTATATCCTTTGGATAGAAGCAATAGTTGCACATATGTTAGAAAATGACTAACACAACTTGTGAACAGAAAACTTATCACAAGAGAGCCAGTGGCCTAGCTTTAAGTACCGTAAAGAAACATACCAAGGAGAATGATTTGAAGTTATTTGGCAGTTGCTTTTGGTAAGTTTACTTTACTTAAAAGTCATGCAATATCAATAGAAACCTATACTGAACTAACATTCCGCGCGCCAGTCCTTTCGTTCAGCGAGTTTGGATTGCTTTAGAAGCCAAAGGTATTCAGTATCAATATATTGAAGTTGATCCATATAAAAAGCCTCAATCATTGTTAGAGGTCAATCCCAGAGGATTGGTTCCTGCTATTCGCCATGGAGATTGGGGCTGTGGCGAAAGTACTGTTCTGATGGAATACGTAAGCCTTACACTTTCTTACACTTCTATGCTGGATTTAAAGCAGTTCCCAGCCTTCGGTAATCATATGGCAACCATCTAACATCTTACAGCTCGAGGACCTTCAAACCGGCCCACCTCTATTTCCCCAGGATGCGCGAGCTAAGGCTCATAGCAGACTTTGGGCCGACCACGTATGTTTTTTTAATCCTTCTCTTTCTTCCAATCCATTGACAACTGTCTAGATTGATCGTAAAATTGTCCCTACGTTCTACGCACTTCTTCAATCCCAAAATTATGAAAAGCAAGAAGAATTGAGTGCAAAACTTCGCGATGAAATTTCTCAGATTGTAGATGTATGCGATCCTCAGGGTCCATTTTTCCTCGGTCCAACACTCACTTACACTGATGTTCACTTCGCACCATGGATTCTCCGTTGCCGTCGTGTACTTAAGCATTATCGAGATTGGCAAGATCCGCAACCGGGTAGTCGTTGGGCGATCTGGTTTGATGCGATTGAGAACAACGAGTTTGTCAAGGTGACTACTAGTGCGGATGAATTGTACATTGATTCCTACGAGAGATATGCGATGAATAGGCCAGGTACAAGTGAGCTAGCGGATGCGGTTAATGGGGGATTCAATTTACCTTAAGAGGACTCGGGATGGAGTTCGAGTTGGAATAGGATAGGGTTTGTAAATATGGTGGGGGATGGGATGAATTAAGTTAGATGGGATGGTAGGGGCGGGAAAGTAATGATCTTCTTTAATGCAATGTAACGCGACGCAACGCAACGCGAGTTCAAGGGCTGGTTACTACATGGGAGGGGAAGCGAACAGATTTGCTTTCAAGTTCTGTTGCCGAATGGTAAATTACGATTTTGAATGTAAGACACTTCTGGTTGGGGGAATTGGAATCATCTCAAAGCTCTATTGGATCTTTGGTGTCCTTTTTTATATTATGATAATGCTAGTTTAGTTTAATTGATCGTTGGTAGTAGAATAATCAATAATTAAGGATCTCAGTTGAATTTCAAAGAATATGAGATTTGGAATGTGCAATGTTGTGATATAATAAAGGGGAGGCGAAGCTCGATCTGTGCATGCATGTATTACAAATATCTTCCAAGGTTCTTTTTTCTCGTCCAAGGTAAAGTACAATTTAGGTTTCCGCTTATAAACCTGATTCAGTTATCCAATCTTCCATCCATTGCAACCAATTTCTACAATTCCCACAATCTCACAGCTCTAGTACTTTCCCTTCCTTTCCCTTTATTTTTCTTCTCTCTCTCAATTCTCTCCTGTCCTCTCTACTCCATCACATACTTCATCACATCCTAATACCAAGCTCTACGCGACCATCTCCCCGTTAACAAGCGTATCCCAATAGCCTCCACAAAAACATCTTCTCTGCTGCATAACCAGCCACTGTAACGCGGGTCTCTGACTCAGCACATCTTCCATGACCGATGCGCACCTTGCACATCTTCTCCAGCGCTTTGTTGTATTCCCACTTCCTTGTCCCCCATTCGCATTACCATTAGCACCGCCGTTTGTGTTACCACTGCCCCCTGCTCCTTGCGGTGTAGCCATTCCCTGAATCGTCGGTAGAGAATTATCCTTATCCATTGGGTTTCCATTTTCAATTGCTTTATTCAGAGATGATTTAGAGGAATTTGGGGGAGGGTTGATCAACCAAGTTTTCCTAAAACAATCCATCGTAACCCCTGATCCTTTTCTCTTCGCCACCGATTCCTCATCCTCGTCCACTTCCAACATTGTAAAATCTGCGAACCATAGATTTGCAGGATCGATTTCGAGACGAACGCTAGATAAGTAGCCGGGTGCTGCTGCATTGGCTCCCAAATCGTTTTGAGTCTTAGGCTCGTTGTCCTGTACGCCTCTGAAGAGGTCGATGATAACTGCTTTAAATGCTGTAGGGATTTCGCCGCCTAGAAGCATTTTTATTTCGAGATTATTGCGCGAAGGACCTGTGCTGTTATTTGTGTTTCCTGAGAGAGGCGGTTTGTGGTTTGTGTATGCGGATTTGATTGAGGAGGTTAGGGATGAGAGAAGGGCTTCAAATGTTTTGATACGGACGATGCAGTTACTCGTTAAATTAGCGATTTGTACATAAGCGGTCCTCAGCGTCGGGGAAATGCTTTGCTGTCCTTGTCCTCCTTGGCTTGGATGATTGGTATTGGTTGCGATGGCTTTGCGAGCTACGTAGTCAAGGTGTTGGAGGCGGCGGCAGATAGCTGTAAGGAAGCCACGGGTAGGAGAAGAAAGGAGAAGATGGAGGGTTACGTTGTTGGTGGCATGGAGGTAGGCAAGAAGTTCTGGGAGTGAGAGTTTGGTGGGATTTGTTACGGAAAGATTTTCTGGAAGGGTGCTGGGAAGTTCGAGGAGAGTGTCGGTTATCCAGGCCATAAGATCGAGAACCCAGCGAACAGAACCAGCAAGGGCAGTGATTACCTCTAGAAGTCTTGTTAGCTTTTCGCAATAATGAGATAGAAATATTGCATACCTGGATCATCAAGGGGCGTTGATTTCGTATCATGAGTTGGACCAGGAACTTTCATGTTTGCAGCCATAGTGACAAGCACAACAGTATTGCGCAACTGTAAAACGAGCCATGAGAATTTTCCAGCAAATTTACGAGCATTGAATTCTCCTGTGAAGCCTAGCGAATTCTGGATGCTAAGACATAATTGTATCATGGTATTCCGAATTAGTACATCATAATGTGCTTCTTCCGAATA